TTAAATATTTAAAACTTTTCAACATTTTAGCCATAAGGAAAATGCAAGTTAGAACTACTTTGAAATTTCTTCTTACACTAGTCAGAATTGCTAACATTTTGAAGAATAACAAAAGTGCTGAGATGATTCTGGTACAATGGTACAATCCTACTGTTGGTAGGATTTAAAACTGGTACAACTGCTGTGGAAATCAATGCAAAGGTTCCTCCAAAAGCTAGAAATGATCTATCATATAACCCAGCTACACTACGCTTGGACATGTGACGTGCCCTATGTACTTTATATCCTGCTACTGAGGATATCCTTGAGGATAATGAGACAGATGCATTTGATTGAATCTACTCATACAAATTCATTTCCTTTATGGTAAGAATATAAAAGCCTCCTTGATTACAGTAACAATTGTATATTTTGGAAAACAATTATTTAGGAAAGAACAAAGAACCAAGACACTTTTAAGAATTCAGATTTTGGGCTGGAGAGATGGCTCAGGGGTTAAGAGCACTGACTGTTCTTCCAGAGGGCCAGAGGTCCCAGCAACCGCATGGTAGCTCACAATCATCAGTATTGGGATCAGATGCCCTCTTCTGGTGTGTCTGACGACAGTGACAGTGTACTCACATATATAAAATAAGTAAATCTTAAAAATATTTTTAAAAAGGATTCAGATTTTACTCAGTTTTGGTATAGATAATTTGGCAAGCCTCAAAGTTCTTTTGAGATCTTTTTTTCTTTTGTCAGAAATGTCAATAATCTTTTGTTCTCTCACGTATCTGAAAGCTAAATGAAAAGTCTTTATCTCGTAATACTTCGTTTCACATAGCATGCTGTCATAGATGACATGGCACACAAAATTGTAGGTTAATATACATTTTTGAATAATATCTTTCCTAGATTTTGCCTAATACTTCTCTGGTTATGTACTTACGTACCTCAAAGGTCACACTTTGAAACAAATAGTACTACTGGTTCTTCCTCTATTACATAAATATAAGAATTCAGGAAATTATGCAATTTCAACCAGTAGAAGACATAAGCTGATGAAGAAATTCTTCTCCCATAGTATCATCAGATACCAAGATAGGCAGTTCCAAGAGTCTCTCCAAAATGTGCCTGTAAATCCCTAGAACACTGTATACCAGTTGCAAAAGCTACTTTAAGACATTTCTTTATAACTTGTTTTTTTTTCTCATATCTGCTTTCTAAAATATTAAGTTAATTTAACTATTCTCAGGTCTCTGACTTCAATTCTGTCTTGAGACTAAGACTAAATAATAAAATACCTTCAAGGTTTTTAGGAATCATTGCTCCCAGGCTGATGGATGCTGGATAATACTAAGCGAAGTATTTGGAGGTTCCCATAATCTTCTTAACTATAGTATTCCCGGCTAAAATTGTGATTTTCCTTCCATGTGGAAAAGAGGTGCAGGGATCATGTCCCAACCACGGAACTCATGGATACTAGCCAATGATGGTCTATTTGGAGAAAGCATGGCACATTTTCTCAAGGCTGAAAATCTACATTTAGATAATATATTACTTTTTCCCTGTGTATAAACATCTTGAAAAGTATACGTGATTTTCCTGGTTTTGCACTGTTTGTTTTTGTCCTAATTAGTTATTTTCTCTGAATCAGCAGAAAGTAAAGCCCTCCAATCTGAGCAATACTCGCTGCCTTTGAGCACAGTCTATAGTTACGAAGGACAGTCTTCTAAGAATTGGCTACTCGGAATAAGGCACAGAATCCAATGCTATGTATATATTTCACAATCCACTCATGCAATAATACCTACATTTAATTAGTCTCTCAGATTCACAAATGCAAAAACTATGAGCAAAATATTAATAATGGGAGAAGTATATTATGGTGTCAGATTGCAATGGTATTTTAAAAGCTAGTCTTAAATTAGAAGTGAATAGCAAAGACATAAACTCATAATACAGTAAATAGGCATAATTTGGTTACACACTTATTGCAGACCCTGCCAGAGATTGAGGATGAATAAGAAGTTGTTAGTAGTAGGATAATCATGGATATACTAGATAAGGGCATAGAGACTTTGACTTCAAATCTGTAAGAATATAAGACCTAGTAATTGATACCACAGAGGTAATTGCTTAAGTTGACTGTAACAAGAGGAGTTTTTTTTTTTTTATTTTGTATAAAACCCAAATATGTTGGGTAGTATGAGACATTTAACTCATGGAGGGGAAGCCAGGAACTCCATAATACAGAGATCTGAAACCACCAGTTTTCAGCCCACTGATTAGCAGCTTCAAGATTGATAGAATCTGGAAGGGCAGCTCCTTCAGCCAAAGTCCAGCAATCCACTGTAAGCTAACTCGTGGGAGCTGTAAGTCATGACGTTTTATAATAAGTAATAATAGGGCATATGGCAGGAGAGAGAACACATAGGACCTTGGGAAACTTGATCATCTAATAGCCATTCCATAGAGAGGAGCTGGAAGAGTAGTTGGAAATGCTATAGAGAAGTTACTGGGCTAGGGACAGTCATAGGAGGAGGCAGAGGAGAGCAAGAAGCAAGTGGATATTAGCCCAAAAGCTCGGAATACCCGAGATACAATTCACAGACCACATGAAGCTCAAGAAGAAGGAAGACCAAAGTGTGAGTGCTTCAGTCCTTCTTAGAAAAGGAAACAAAATGCTCACAGAGGAAATATGGAGACAAAGTGTAAATAAGATACTAAAGGAAAGGCTATCCAGAGACTGCCCCACCTAGGGATCCATCCCATATACAGACACCAAGCCAAGACACTACTGTGGATGCCAAGACGTGCTTGCTGACAGGAGTCTAATATAGCTGTCTCCTGAGAGTCTCTGCCAGAGCCTGACAAATACAGAGGAAGATGCTCACAGCCAACCACTGGACTGAGCAACTACTCAATGGAGGAGTTAGAGAAAAGGCTAAAGGAGCTGAAGAGGTTTGCAACCCCACAGCAAGAACAACAATATCAACCAAGTAGACCCTGCCAGAGCTCCCAGGGACTAAACCACCAGCCGAAGAGTGCATACCCATGACTCCAGCTGGGTATGTAGCAGAGGATGGCCTAGTTGTACATCAATGGGAGGAGAGGCCCATGGTCCTGTGAAGGCTCGATGCCCCAGTGTAGGGGAATGTGAGGGCAGAAAGGCAGGAATGTTGGGCAGGAGCACCCTCACAGAAGCAGGAGCAGGGAGGATGGAATAGGAGGTTCCAGGAGGGGAAACCAGGAATGGGGATAACATTTGAAATGTAAACAAATAAAATATCTAATAAAAAATAAAATATTTATAAAAATAAGGAGAATGATTAATGAATACTTCAAAATAGCCTTTCATATGGCATGTTCATAGGAAGATGGACTCAACTGAATGTAACTGAGAAGATTCTGAGTTTAATGTTATCTCATGGAGAGATGCATCTGTATAATCTCAGCAATAGGTTTGGTACCCAACAGTGTTATCCTTGGCATATTTGTGTGCCTTCAGTTTGTTTTTAAATATGCAACTCGGTAGTAAGCTCTCTGCTACTGTAGCTGAACTTGAGCAGGTTTCTGCACCGTGTGTTTTCAATAGCCATTGTAATTTTGTTGTAGTAAATATAATAAGCTATTCCTGTGACAGAAATGTCATGACAGATTTATACTAGTGCTTATACTGTAATTTTCAGAATGTTTTCCTTTACTCTTGATATAATTTGTATGTATTTTATATAAAATGTTATAAAGGAACTTTGTTCTCAATCTTGGGTTGCTACCCCTTTGGAATTACATATCAGATATCCTGATAATTAGATATTTACATTGGAATTTTTAAAATTATCAAAATTATAATTATAAAATAGCAACAAAATGATTTTATGGTAGAGGGTCACCACCAACATGAGGAATTGTATGAAAGTGTCACAGCATTAGGAAGGTTGAGAACCACTTCTCTAGAAAGTGATTGAACCCAGAAAAGATAAAAAAAATATATTGGAGAGAGATGCTGATAGCCAAGGTTAACACAAAATTTTCACCACAGACCCTAAGCAACCACTTTGACTCTTCATAGAGCTCCAGGAATTTTGCTGTTTCTCTTGAGTCCTCTGTTGTCATGCATATGCTTTGATTTTAAAACAATTCTAATTATAATTTAAAATCAATAAAATAGAGACTAAAAATTGATCATACAGTGTGACTGGAGAGATGACCCATTAAATTAAGAACACTGGCTGTTCTTCTAAAGGGCTTGTGTTCAAGTCTCAGCACCTACATGGTGGCTCACAAACATCTGCAACTCCAGTTCTAGAGGCTATGAGATCCTCTTCTGGCTTCCAAGTGCAGCAGGTACACAAATGTTGCAAAGACATGCATTGGAACAAAACACACGTGTGCATATGTGTCTTTTTAAATAGCGAATGAAAGACATTAGTGTTAGGTAACACTGAGTAATTTACAGGGAACAGTTTGAAAGTTAGAAAGGATGCCAAGGTGACACTAGGGTTAAACTTCAGTAGCTTCCACATCAAGCCCAGAGGCGTGTTTCCAATTCATCAACAGCAGCAGCAACAACAATAGTAATTGCATATAGTTACTTGCATCCCTTACATTGTAAAGAAAAATGTCTTCCTCATAACGTCCAATGACAAAACACACAAAAAGTATGTCAGGAGGAAAAAGGATTTTCCTGGACACTATGAAATAATATTTAGTGTAAAATTATCCTGACATTTCTGACATAGGAGTAGCTCATTGCTCTTTGTTACAAAGAAATTACAACAGCCATAAATACAATGGACAGAGAACTATTCAAAAGCAACTGCAATTACAAATAATTTTGTGATATTAACATTTTTTTTTTAGTTGCACATTTCTAAAGGACAGCCCACAATTAGGACAGGGCTGACACTCTTGGGCACCACACCTCTCCTTGAGAGTATATAAGCCCAGGTCTCCATAAGTGACATTCAAACTCAGGATCTTCTCAGTTACATCCACTAGAGCTCACATCTATCAGCATGAGCTGTAAGTGCCACTCTGATAACTTTTCTACCTCCTTTAGGAGCTGCCTGCCCACAGTGGGGTCCTCCTGTTGTTCCTCCTGCTCAAACAACCTGGCCTACACCACTACCAGCTGTTCTCCCAGCACCTGCCAGCTGAGATCCTCTCTGAACAATGGCTGCCAGGAGACCTGCATTGAGCCTACCAGCTGCCAGAGGTCCTGTGTGGTGTCCAGCCCCAGCCAGAAGCCTTGTTACTACCCCAGGAGCTACACACCCTGCAGTCCCTGCCAGGGGACATATGCTGGCTCTCTAGGTGTTGGGTCCAGCAGCTGCTGTTCCCTGGATTATGGATCTAGAAGATGCTACATTATGGGTTGTGGATCCAATGGCTTTGAATCTCTGAATTATGGAGTCTCTGGCTTCCCTTTACTGAGCTATGGGTACAGATTCTGCTACCCAACTGATCCGGCTGCTAGTATATACCAACCATATTATAAACCAACCTGTGGTAATATTTTCTATGGATTCAATTGCTGAGACTCTCTCTTCCTTCATGCAATATAAAAGTAAAAATCTGTATGGCCTGCAGCCATCGTTTCTTGCTTATCCTCTCTTGCTATCTGTTATTTCTTCCATTAACAGTGTCTCTCATTCTCAATTACTGGGAGATTCTGGAATTTGAGGGGAACATCCAATTATTCCTTTCTCTCGTCACTATGGAAAAATGATACAAGTAATTGGTTTTCATCCAAGAGCAGTTGAAAATCAAAAATTTAATCTAATAAATGTATGCATTCTGAAACCTCAATGTATTGATCTTTTTATTATTAATTTGCATATAGATTTGCAGTCATACTTTGGGGAATTCATTACACGTCAAACCGTCTTTTAAATTGTGTTTGGAAACATATTTCTACATTTAGTTGTGATTCTCATTTGGGATAAGAAACTATAGGAATATCATGTTTCACATTCGAAGACATGGTGGAATAACAATGAGAATTGCTTGGACTTGGCTAGCAGGAACGTCTGCTGATCCAGAGAAACAAGGCAATTGGGATGCTGACTAAAATTTTACACATCAAGAATAAGATATTATATAATTTATAAGTGGAGACTACACATAAACAAAAAACTATCTAGGTGTATTAATATTTGAATGCAGATTATTTTAGGCATAAGAAATATGAACTTCAGGCAACTCCCTGGACAGATTTGGATAATATAAATGCTATAATCCCAACCTATTGTGTTACTGTATCTTTTCTGTACATTATCAGCAAACATGTTTAAGGAAAATCACAACTATCAGGGATCAGGACCTGTTGTAGACCCTCTGATGCTTCCCCCAAATGCAACTTCCATAAACCTATAAACAATATGTGTAAGAAGTGTTGAGTATTTTTATTACTCAGCATGCTTAGTGTGATTCTGAATGTAGAGCAGAAATCAGAGATTGGGAATAGTTAATTTGGCATATGTTTGTGAAAATCGGGTATTTTAGACTATGGGAGGATATATATACATATACATGTATATGTATATATAATTGTAAAGGAGGATATATATATACACACACACACATATGTGTGTGTGTTTGTGTGTGCGGGTATGTGTGTGGATATATATATATATATATATATATGTATATATATATATATGAAGGATATATATATACATATACATATACATATATATAATTATAAAGAAAGACATCTAGCAAAGAAATTCATTTTGAATTTGACCTTATCAACAGCAAATGGATTTCATTATTCTAGGGAATTTCAAGGACACTTAGACTTTCACAGCTGTCCATCTCACAGTCGGTCCAACAGAGAACAACATCTCCTCATCATATGGCCTCTTTCACTAGTCAGCATTTTGTAATTTCCTGGATTTCCATCACTGCATAGAGAAAGAATGGCACTGGGCTCCTTCTGTTACCCTAATGCAACTTTTGTGATACCCACATATGTGTGTGTGTGTGTATGTTGTGTACACCAAAAGAAACATTAGAAAAGGGTGTTTACAGAAGGACTATGTGCCTACCATGTGATATGTGTGCCAATGTCCTAGCTGGCATCATCTTGACAGCATGTTCTATGGAGCAAGGCCATATAAAACAGAATTTTTTCTTAACGTTTACACATCTAAGAGAGATAGATTATTGTTCTGTTTAGACAGGAGGAAAGGAGATTCTGAAAATGTTTCAAGCTTGTCATAGATTTAGAGCAAAGCTTATTATAATTTGAATTCATAAAATGTCAGTTCTTTGTTTTTTTTCTGGCAATTTTTCTGTTTGTTTTCAAAAACACAACTCATATTATAACCAAGGATTGATTGGTATTTCTGCTGCTACAGTAATTGTATTTTAAGAGGAACTTTATTCTGTGGCATCTAGTTTATTAGCTTCATATAGACAAAGTACAATAAAAAGTTAAAATAAATACAAGTTTATATTTAAGAACTGTGTTTAAAGAGAGGGTTTTTTTTTGTCTTCCTCTCCTTCCTCTTTCTCCCTACACCCTGCCCCTCTCTTTTTCACCCTTAGTAATCATGTCTTCTACCAGTGGATTGTCTTGCTTTCTGCTATTGCTTTTAGGTTTTTGTTTGTTTAAGTATATGTATAAAATGCCATATTTACACTAGGGAAATGATTGAAAACAAATGAAAAATTATGTATAAAGTACACAAATAAGTAGACTTCTGTCTCCTAATGTTAAGCACCTGTGATCTAATTAGTTCCTTCCTAGTCTTGAGTTACCTATAACTTTTTCTTTGATCATGTTCAACCTCCCCACCAGCTTTCCCCAAATTTAACCACCTTCCCTATCCACCCAAATATTGTCCTTAAAAAAATTTCAGGAGTGATTGTGCTTCCTAAATCTGTGGTATTACCATTGATGTATAGTCAACTTAAGAGGGGCTCTACTCTTAAAAACAAATAAACAACAACAACAAATAAAACTAAACAAGCAAAAACAAAGAAAAGAGAGAGAGAAAAAGACCTTCCCTGTTCCAGCAGCTAACAAGTGCCAATCATTTCATGGCTAGGGGTGAGACTTTGTATCCATCCCTTATCACCATGTCTGGATTTCTTCCAGTTTCCACTTGTACAAGCTTTGTGTACTCTATTTAAATCAATATTCTTATTTATATTTTATTATTTCCTTTAATTTTTTAATTTTAAATTATATATAATTTATAATTTAATATATGTAATTGTATATTAAATCAGCTTCCTCTGTTAATTACTAAGGCGTCTCTTTGGGCCCATGGACACTATGTGTCTTCAATAAAAATTACATGCTTAGCTTTTCGTGGAATCAGAGATGGCATCAACCATCATGGAAACGTCTTCCAGTTATTATACAAGTTATATGCTTAAAATAAAACTTTTATGGTAATATAAATTCAGTGCACAACTCCTGTTTTACATTAATTAAAAATGACATTACTTTTAACTAATTGTTTTAGAAAAGAATTGCTTTACAAAATGTAAAGTTCTACACGCTGTTCCAACCTCATAAGTACTTGTGGATTTAAACAATACAAACGATTGAACACACCACAATATCCAGAGAATACAGATTATTCTTCATGTGTTCAGATGCAGCATAAACTCATGCCCACACTTCCTGTACACCTAACTTTCCCACTACTCCCACCTGCTGGTAGTTACTGGGTATTGCTGTATCACGTTGGGTGTGGATATGCCCATTACATTCATAACTGGAGAAATGGAAAAAGAAAGACCCAGTCTGCATGTAGATCTTTTTTTTAAATCTGTGTATATTGCCCACGATATTATAAAATTACAATAAATTCTTTCATGGTGATCCTTCTGTGTGCTTTTATTGAATAAAAATTGACCTCTTTTGTTAGATTTCTTTTTTTAACTTAATTTCAATTTCAGATTTAACAAAAGGAGTTTGCTTTACTTAAAGCTTGAAACACACTAGGTGAACCCACCACAAAAGTCAAGTGATAGTTCCCTAAAATAGTCACTGAGTGTGCTAATGAACTTATGATGATTACAGTAAGTAAAAGGAAAATTGTGAGACCATTAGCAAATGAAACTGGATGGTGAGACAAAAATGGAATAAAAGATAGCATGTGGTGACCCTGGGAATAGATCATCTCTTCCTTTGACAACGATTCCTGCAATTAAATGGTGAAGCCTTTGTGACACTGTCCATCATTCAAATATGATATCCCACTTCTGCATCAGGTCAAATCCTGAAACAAAAGAATATTTATGTGGCTTTTAAATACTCTATGTGTATATGTGTATGTGTATATTTATATACATATGTATATGTTTATAAACCAAATGCTTTTCATCAAACCCAAGAGACACAAGACAAAACTGGGTCATCACCAAACTATATAAGTAACATATGAACAATGCCAGCTATACCTGTAACCAACCGTTGAATGTGTTAGAGATTTCATTTAAAAGTTCTGTTAATCTCACAGTGAAGATGGGAGTTTGAACCCCATTTCTACCTAACTCATGATCATGTAACTTCTTATCTACTGGTAACTTTGCACATATTTTAGAATGTATTTCATAAGAGTAATCCCCCTTCCTACATTATATGGCAAAATTTGGAAAGATCACAGATATAAGTTTGTTATTCTAATGAGGTGTCCTCTTCATCTCACTGTGTGAAGTATTCACAGATGGAGAAAACAGGAAAGTTGAAAAAAGGCTTCAGATACAAAAGAATGACTTTATACAATTAAAATGTCAGGCTCATGATACAGCAAAGCCCAGGGAGATATTCTGAAGTAGTTTTGAAGACAAGAAAATGAAAGTAATAATTATGGCATTCACAAGACATAAAAAAGTCTAGTTGCATATTTTTATTTAAACTTACAACCTTCCTCTTTTAAAAATCAAGACTGGAACTCTGAATAATTACTAAGGGATACATGAAGAAAGAATTATGCTTGATTTTTGCATGCCTATAATATATAAGAAAAAATTTAGCATCTTTCTCCAATTAAATACATTTCCCAAATATAGAAACTTATGAATAGAAGTCAAATTCCTAGACTAATATAGAAAAGCAAAAGACTGGTTTCTAGCATAGTAGGCAGTAAGCATCTTTTACATTTCTAATTTCCCCAATACAGATCAGAAGAAGCCAGTTCCACAGGTTGGTTGGTAAGAAACAGACTGGACGCTTTTGGAAGAGAAGCAGGTTGGGCGGTAAAAGCTGGATCCACCATTTAGGGATGAGAAATTACCGGTACCACATCCCACTGACTGGAAACCACGGGATCCAAAACCCAGGGTTGGGTAGCCACAACCAAAAGACTGGAAACCCCTGGAACCAAATCCCAGGGATCCTGAGAAAGTTGACTGGTAGGGGCTGCATGACCCTCGAATCCTCTGGCTGTAGAAAGGCCTCTGGCAGGGTCTAGAGACCACATAGGACGTCTGGCAGCTGGTGGGCTCACAGAAGGTTTCCTGGCACCCACTGTGAAGAGAGGAGCCCAGCTGGTGTGTGATGGGAGTTTGGAGGTCGGTGCTGTAGAAAACATTGTTGGGGTAGGAGGAACCACCTGAAGAAATCGGATACTGCAGTTGGCCCCCAAAGGACTGGGAAAAATTTCCAGAGCAGCTGTTGCAGGACATGTTGAGAGGAGCTAGGACTTTGAGGATGGGATGAGGAGAATGTTCGGAGTTTGAATAACCCTTCTTAGATACAAAGCACTTATATACCCCTGTTCTTGGGTGCGTCATCCCCACGGCGCATGAACACAGTTTACCTGCGGCTTTAATTGAATTGAGAACACCATCATAGTCACGCATATTTACTTTTTGTGTGGTTTCACAACTGGGTAAAGCAGTGATGTCTCTGGCCCTGGAATTCAGGTAATAGTGTTCAATCTTCAAAGCTATTATTCATCTTCCCTCAACAAAAGGTCACCCTGCACATCACTCAGAAAACTGCTTTAGAGGTAGACTGTCTGGGCTGAGGGAAGCTAGCTTAATTAAAAATAATTGATACCCGTTGCACAATCTGTCCAAAAATTGCTGCCATCTGGCTAGCAAAGTTGTTCGCTGATCCACACATAGTCATTTCTTTTAAACGAAAACACACACTGATTGCTGCCTCAAAATGGCAAGCTTCTGTGATGAATACCGCCATCAAAATACTGATATGCAAGATGTATATGGACTTTAAAGTAACTGGACTTCGGTAAAATAACTACTGAAATATGGAGAGATTCTTATTTCTCACGCATCTGCCTAAGAAAGGAATCAAGATATTAAATATCCCTCTTAACGTGTGTGTGTGTGTGTGTGTGTGTGTGTGTGTGTGTGTGTGTGTGTGTATGGGTGGCTGGGATGCAGATTGGGTAGAGACGGTTTGCTGTGCTGTAAGCTAAAGGCTTTATGCTTTGTGCTAGTTTGAATGGTAAAGATTATTTATCTAAGATGATAAAATGTGTTAAATGGAGTGAAGTTTGAGGTAATAATGTCAAAGATATTTCTATCTCTAATCAAGATCACTATTTCCCATTAAAAAGACTCTCCATAATCTGGGAGAATCCTTATTGTAAAAGAAAAGAAAAATCTTATAAAGCAATTGCCTTGAAGTGTCAGGCCAAAGGAGCCATCGCTGGGAGGTGCTTCCTCTGGCCGAAAGCAGCATATATCACTTTGACTTAAATTGTTTTTAGGTGCTTCTGACAAGTATTGCAAAATGTCCAAAGTGAGGGTCATATTTCCTTGATTTCCACAGCCTGTCTTCCACCTCAGCTAAGAGTCTAATGAAGACTGATGCCCGGTGCTGGGGGAGGAGAAACTGCAGAGGGCTGGCTTGGGGTGGTTGCAATGCTGTTTATTTCATTTTACAGAACAACATTTCCCTCTACTTCTGAACATTAGCTTTTCTATGAGAGAACATCATTTTTTTTCTTTCCTTTGTTAAGTTAATATGTTCAGACTCAGAAAGTCTATAGTTTGAGAGAGGTGTTAGCAAATGTCTCCAGTTTGAGTCTTTCTTTTTAAAAAAAAATCAGATTGGAATTCTAGTTACAGAAATCTGATTCAGTGTTCCCAGAACCCTAAGAGAACGGCTCATTTTTTTTTTATTTGTCCTTAAAATTCAGACCAAGTAATCATAACTTTTCATAAAATTAGTCTCAGCTCATTTTCAGTGTGCAATTTGTGCTGAGATTGATGACATACAACGTCTTTCCATTTCCACAAGGTTATTCCAGCAATTTCCTGTATCAGTGAACCATCTCTACAGCAAGCTGGGCTGCACTTTGTGGAGGAGTACAGAAACATCTTAACACTCCATTTTCTAGGAAGAATATATGAGCTAATTGATAGATACACAACATTACCAACTCCAAAGTAATGTCTTCACATTCCCATCCCATTTGATACCATTCCCTACCCATGGGTCTGTACCCAAGGGTCATTTGCAACCATGACTTCTTCTAAGTCTTAATCCTTTGGTGGTATCTACATGAGACAGTTATTCTTCATATTCTTTGATTATGTTTAACCCTTGTGCAATAAAAATTAAATAAAAAGTAAGGAAAAGCAATATGGCAATAAGATAATGCTCAGAACTTGCTACTTTGTTGCCAGGGACACCAGTACCACCAGGGGGAAAACAATGTATTCTGTGAAGACAAATATATTTTATTTTGATAGCGAAGCTTGTTAAATTTATTAATAGTTTAATACTAATAATTTCCATCATAAAGCAATGAAGGTGTGGGGACATTAGATTCTAATTAAAATATAAAAGGGCTAGCAACCTATCCCAGAGTGGTAGAGCACACATGGGGCCCTGAATGTTTTATACAGAAGGAAGGAATGGAAAAGAGGAGAAAACAAAAGAAAAAAGAGAAAGGCCACAAAGGGATTCTGTGATGTAAATATTTCACAATCTAACGTTCTAAGCACTCCTGCAGACATCGACCTCTCAGTCTTACATAGTCATGTGCACAAACACAGATTCACAAATTGAACTTGAATTTTTGAATGAACTTGAATGAACAATATTGGACTTGAATTTTTTCTCCCAAGGATTAATATTGCACTGTTCCATTCATAATATTTACAACATTTGGAGAGAGACATAAAAAATTGGGAATTTATGTTTCTGTTTTCAATCAAGCTTCTAAACTTGGAGCATCATAATCATAATTTTATTTCCAGAATACAAACGTTTGTAGAGTGTTGAACCAGGCAGGATTATTGCTGCATCACCCATTTGATCACATTTTGAAGCCTGGAATAAATAAAGCATCTATCTTAAAGATTCAATTATGGTGGCTTTCATTCGACCTACTGGAGATATTGAGATATTGCATTTTTACTTCATGAATAATTGCTTTGAAAACTAATGAAATTCCTTCATTTAGAAGTGCACATTCATAAAACGTCCTTTGAAGGTTAAAGTATTTCATTTTTACTGGAGCCTAATTAGGCACTCTCATTAAAATGGACACAGGCTACTACACCCATCTTTCTGGTATATAAGGACCCAGGTTAGACGGTGGTATTCATACTCGCAGATTCATCGCTGCAACTCAACTGAAACCAGAACTCCTGACAACATGTCTTACACCTGCAACTCTGGAAACTTCTCCTCTCAGTCTTTTGGAGGTTTCTTGAGGCAGCCAGTCTCTACCTACAACTCTTTCTACCCCACCGGCAATGTAGGCAATGTAGTCTATTCTCCAAAGAACTTCCAGCTGGGATCCTCTTTCTACAATGGACAGCAGGAGACCTTCAGTGAGCCACTTGAGGGCCACTTGCCCTGTGCAGGGACTGCATCCTTCCAAACATCCTGCTTCCGGCCCAGGCAATACTTCTCCAGCCCGTGCCAGGGAGGCTTTACTGGATCTTTTGGATATGGCAATTCAGGCTTTGGATCTTTTGGATTTGGAAACTCTGGCATTCGCTCTCATGGCTTTGGATGCAACTTCCAGCGCCCAGGCTACTTTTCTTCTAAGAGTATCCAGTCATCTTATTACCAGCCAGGCTACAGCTCTGGTTTTTGCGGGTCAAATTTCTGAACACCCCACATGTCTCCTGAAGGTTTCTCTACCTTAAGGAACTCAAATGGCTTCTCCAACATTTAGGATTGATCAATGAGCATTTGTCTCTCCAGGACTCCGCATGATATACCTGGAAGCAAATCATTTTTTGAGGACAAAGTAACCGTGACCTTTAACCTACCTTTGACCTTTCAACTCTACTACAAGAAAGAACTGGCATTTTAACTATTAGGTAAATGCTTGGATCACTTCTGGTACCATCCATCTTTCTAAATTTCTTCTCTCATTTCCTGAGGATTTGTTCACTCAAGTTTATTTTTAAATAAACTTATGTCTGTAGCATGAATTTTGGCATTCTAGTATTTTTTTTATTGATGACACGTTTATTCAATGCATCTGATGTTTTAACTGTTTTCAGATTTTATTTTCTCTGTTTCTCCTAATATTTTGTTTGACAGAAAAGCAGACGCTCGGGAAGAAAACTCATATATATGTCCTATCTCATGTCATCTTTCATATCTTGAAAGATTTATATTCCTTCACAGGCCCATTTGTTCATGTAATTACTTCAGACATTTTGTTTTCAGTGGGGCAGTCAATGGAAAAGAATTATTGGGTTCTTGTTATGTACCAAATACTGTGATGAACAAAGGTATAAATTCTCGGCTTTCAATAGACTCATACAAGTACAATTCTAGTTTAACATGTCATGACAAGTCAGTAATGGGAATTAAAGAAAACATAAAATTCAGAAGAAACACTAAGAAGGTCTTACAAAGAGACAGAGAATGTCATCATTCAAACAGAAAGCGTTAGTCAGTCTGTCAGTCAGTCAGTTAGCTAACAACTTCATTTAAATCAAAAGAATCCTACTGATGTGTCACACCACTTTGAGTCTACTGGGGAGCAGCTGTCACAGAGAGTTAGACAAGAAAGGGATTTGTCATCGCAAAGTACGAGTGAGGGACATGTCAAGGTACCTGGGGAGGTATGTCTAAGCTCAGCAAAGGATAGAGAGAAGGAAGGAAGTTTAGATCAAACAAAGCCTTTCTGTGAGGAAGAAGAAGCACTAGAGCTTGAACCCAATCTCTTGCACAGGCTAAGCCATTGCCACATCACTAAGATACTGCTGAGTTTTATTATTAAAAAAAAAATGTTATTTTGAATAAGGTCTTGAATAATTACCCAGACTATCTTCCAATTTGAAATTCTCCTTCCTTAACTTCCTGAGTAGCTAAGATTACAAACATATATCACCATACCTAGATTTTAGAGGAAAAAACCTGTCTAATATTTTTTGGTAGGTTAACCATCTAAGGAAACCCTATATCTAACACAAAACAAGTTTGTCTTACTGCCAGTGACAAGTTAATTCACTAGGACTCGTTGGATGAAGCTGTATTTACATAATGGAGTATGAGAGAGGACTGAGAATAATTGAATACTTAGCTTTTGCTTTAATTAGAATTAAGCATTAGAGGAAGCTACTTCATTTTTTTCTCATACTTCTAAACTTTATTTTTGTTGCGAAGGTTCTGAGTTCTATGAAACCTCCAGTAATACAACAGAAAGATCTATTCTCAAACTAAAATACTAAGAAATATTTTTATTTCTTCTTAATAGCTAAGCCCTTTTCATTGGGCTTGGTGCTGTTATGTATTCAAACACTAAATTCTGTACCCCTAGATCTGGTTACTCAGTTAATTCTGATATACACCAGCTTTTGTTGTGCAAAGCTTGATCCCCAAATTAATTGGTCAATAAAAAACTGAAGCTGGTGATGGGGCAGTAGAGGAAGATAGGTGGGACTTCCTGGGAGGCAGAAAGGAAGTCTGGGAAGAACAAAGAGGAAGGACCTTCCCTGAGGTGACATGAGGGGAGACAAGAGAGGAGACAGAGTGATTACAGGCCTCTCTGGAAGGAACAGCTAGCCACATGGCTGTATGGGGTCAGATTAATTTAGATGAGCTAGTTGAGAGCCTGCCTAGCTAAGTCCTAAGCTTTGAGATATTCAAAGATAACTGTGTGGTTATTTGGGGAACTAGTTGGTTGTAAGGACTAACTGTCACCATATTAATTTCCAGCATTAATTAACAGATACAGAATATTGATGCTAAATTTTATACCTAACCAATATTAGTTAATGAACTATTTTTACAGCCACATCTGAAATTTTGCCTTTAACCCCTCTCTGGCCTGTGGTGAGGTCCTACTGATATCTACCTGGAGCAGCTTGATTGGGTCTCCTTTTAAATCTGTTTCTGGGAGCTTGTTGTCCATAAATGTAAGCTGCCTCACTTGTGAAATATTTTAACCAAAGAGAAGTATGAGTGGAACCAAACAACAAATCAGTATTTCTGGTTTCCACACAGTTTAGGGTTTCAGTTCCAGCACCACATATTTGTTCATTTCAGAGAGCTTGTGGTGGAAATAGTCAAGGTTAGACCCATGAAAAAGTTCACCAGTGCTTCAGAAACTTCCCGTTGACTAATGTATGGGAGATCACAGTGAAGAAGGCGCACTTAAGTAACTCTTTACTGAACTGACAGTTTATATGTGGAGAGGTTTCTTTTGATGTGGAGTTATGTATTTCTGTATGCTCTCTTTGCTATGTCCAGTAATCCACAATATCTCTCTTCTTGGAAAGATGACACTTTAAGTCAACTTACTCATGATCTCACTTCTAACACCTCTCTTCAAAGATCCCCAAAACTGAGTTATAAGTTAGTTCATTATTAAATCAATAATGTTGAATACTTTATTAGCAGATTGTCTGGAGGTATCACAGGCTATTTATTGGGGAAAGCCTTTAAAATTTAACATTTTTAGGTATCACACACTCTGGGATAAATAGTTGTATAAACTCCTCAGGTAAAGCAAGTTTAATGCTCCCTGAGAAGGATCTCATTTGGAGCCTTTTGTACATAGTTAGGTTTGAAATACCAGTTCTTTCTTTGTGTTGAGATTAGGGTTCACACAGGAAAGATAAGATGGCATGTTTATTTCTCTAGTTTCTGCCATATGATGATACAGAGAAAAGGGCTCAGCTACAAACACAAAGAAAGCCCTATTCAAAAACTCAACTAGCTAATACATTTTCTTGCATTTCTTCATCTCTAAAACTGTAAGCAACAATTACTTGTTTAACCTATGTAATCTATAGTGTCTTATTGTAGCAGTCTAACCTGAGATGTCTCATTTATCTGAATATTGTCTATTTCATCACAAATAATTTTTGTATAGGGATATTCTGTCTCTGTCTCCCTCTCTCTGTCTGTCTCTCTGTCTCTGTCTCTCTCTGTCTCTGTCTCTCTCTCTGTTTGTCTCTGTCTCTGTCTCTCACTCTTCTCCCTCCCACCCACTCTCTCTTCCTCTCTCTCGTCCTAGCTCTGTACTACCCCTTCCCTCTCTCCTTCTTTTCTTCCCTTCATGCCTACCCCTTTTTCTTTCATCTCTCTATCATTCTACTTTGTGTCAAAGAAATTTTCAAACCAGCTCACATAGGTATAGGGTATCACAAGCTGGAAACTCATGAAAAGTTTCTGTTATAGCCTTGACACACTTCTTTTATATTCTCTGCAAAAATTTTTTTCCTTCTTTTACTTCTTAGTCCTTTAACTGAAGTCTTCATCCTGATGATTGCATTTAGTTTGGGTCAATCAACAATAAATTGGAGTGCATCTACAAAATGCCTTTATACTGACTTTAAGTTTATGTTTCATCAAATAGCCACACCGCACATCTAAGTCAAAGTGGCGTGGAAAATTAACCATCAGTGTCCAGTTCCTAGGAAACTTGGTTGCTGATAGACTATTTCATTAGTATAAAGTCTACAGGATGTCAAAGGACCTGAAACAGGAGCAAATGAAACTCTTAACTCATAATGTTCCTATTAATTTCTAAAACTTATTTTTACAGATTATTATTTTTAATCTTAGATTCTAATGTGAAACTTACATGAGATTTTCAGAATCCTCTAACTGTTATTCAGAGGAATTCATTTCTCAGTAAGATAGATGTCTGTGCATATTCAAACAGTTGACATTTTGTGTCAGTGATCCCTCTGCACTCTTGTACTCTCCAAGGAAGAGTTGGTGAGAACACAGCTGTGCATAACACCCAGCTGCATATATGAAGCATGCTAGGACTGACAGTGGCACCTCAAGGTTCTCGACCTCTCTGTCCATTTTACACTGTTTCTGGCCAACATGTTTTTCATGTTTATTTGTTCTTTTGTGACCTTTCTTGTCATACCCTCACTTTTTTTCATTTTCTACCTTTCATAAATGGGTTTCTAGTGCTCACCAAAAATTTTATGTTTTGCACTCTCTGTGTTTCGTCCTTGTTTGTATTTGTGTTGGATTCTGCCTATTAGAATTCAAGTGCTCTGTGTCTGAAGTGTTGATGTGAAATAACCTCTTCATTTAGAGGTCAGTAGCAATGTCCAGTTGTGAGAAGAAAATTATCCTGAATTTTGCTACATATTCTCTCTATGCCAGGGATTCTCAACCTGTGGGTCACAACACCTCTGGAGTTGCATGGCCTTTCACAGGGGTGCCTAAAATGATCATAACACACAGATCTTTACATTATAATTCATAACACTAGAAAAATTAAAGTTATGAAGCAGCAACCAAATAATTTTAAGGTTGGGAGTCACCACAACATGAAGAACGATTTTAAAGGGCCACAGAATTTAGAAGGGTGAGAAACTTCTCTAGAAAATGTTTTCTATATTTGAAGTAAGACTGCTTTAAATCTATGTCCTAGGAATAAACTGTTTGGGTTTCTGCTTAGCTGTGCACACTGAACTCAAATTCCACTGAGGATGTGGATAGAATATTATGAATTTGATATAATATCCCTCTACTTATGTATTCTTGTTGTATGTTCAAGAATCAAAACTATGTGAGACCAGGTACCAGTTCACAGACAGTTTACTATCTCCCGGATCTTACAAGGACTTCCTGTATCTTGTATTCCCCATTCTCTGTACTGTGCACAAACAAGAATAGAGGTATTCGAGAATGATTGGCAGTGACAGAATTGATCATGAACTATATTTTTATTTCTATGCGCCATGGCTGTTACCATGGGCTTGTAAGATTTTTAGTGTCTCATTAAAAAATTATTAAATTTAAAATATTCAAATTCATTAAAATATCTAAATTTCATTAAACTTCACCAAAGCTCATTTCTATAAGCAATGTCAGTTCTTGCCAAATTGCAGTTTAAAATAGAAAATAAGATAGTGGAGTTGACACGCAGATAACATTCATATCACAGATTAACTGTAATTTTAATTACAATGATTGCACTAGTTTCACATGTCCACTTGTC